TTCCCGAAGCGCATCCTCGATGTTGAGCAGGTCGGGACGCTGAGGCGTCTCGGGATTGAAAGCCTGCGGGACGGTATTTTGCCGACTCAGTGGCACATCGGGGGTGGCTTCCAAGCGTGGCGCATCCAATTGAAATCGATGATCATCCAATTCAGGAACCGGGGTGCTGAACCTGGTCAGGCACATGTATTTCTCGGACTTCGGTGACTCGGACATTGTGGCTATATCGGTGTTCTTGATTGATTCTTCCTCACGTGGGTATTTATAACAGGGTTGATGAAAGCGAATTTGCTGGCAGGGAGCCGATATTGTTGACTTAATGTGTTTTTTTGAATTGATTATATGCGCGGCGGCGTTCAAGGGCGCGGCGTCGGAAGTTGTAGACTGGATGAGAAAGGTCCCAGGGCGATTGCTCCTCCATCCATTAGCCAGACCCCTCGCAAGGGCCTGGCATTACCGATGCGCGTCCGTGTGCCAGCTTTGAGACTGCTTGAATAAGCTCTATTAGGGGGGTCTGGTGTCGCCCCCGCAGAAGACCCTGAACTTGGGGCCCAGAAGAGGGTGGAGGAGGGAAGACTGGTTGCAGCGAAGGCCCGCCAACTTGACTGAGTGAAGCGTAAGGAGCGCCGTCGCTCCGAAAAGTGCGGGGGAAAAGTGCGATGACAGAGAGAACTCCCTAACAGAGTTCTCGCAATTCAGCGCAAGATTCGACCGGCAGGATTGACGCCCAAACTAGGTTTAACGAGATCGAGAAGAGCTGCTGGACAGCGGATAATAAGTCGGACCAATCGGGCTGCAGAAGTTCGAAGACAAGTTTCGGTCTGACTTCAATGAAGTGTTGGATTGAAAAGTGCACTGAATGTGTTTCAATGTGAGTGGTGATGATCGTCGGCACACTCAAAAGGAAGAGGGTGGGAGACGACTGGTAGAAAAAAAGAGTCGCAAAAGTGGAATGGGGGACCCTATTTTTTTAGAGTATGATGTAGTACGCACCACACTCGGAAAAATAGACCCCGTGGTCAAAGACGATGCGTCAAACCACGAGGACGGGAAAAGAGCAACGGCGAATCAAAGACAGCCGGAACACTTGAAGAAGCACGATGCAAGATTCTGAAAAATGAATAAAATCAAGAGCAATGGGTTATAAAAGATATCACCAAGGAGGTGATTGTGAGGAAGATGTCTCAAGGGGACAGGAGAGGACCGAGAATCAAGGCAGCTGAGTGGAGGAGCAATTCTAGTATTAAATAAAATACGAGGGGCGGGCAGAAATTTCCGCTTCAAGGGTGAAAAACGGACTGAGGAGTCTGAAATTTTTAGTTGAAGACGCCGCGTCGGCAAAGGCCCCGAGGCGGGTTTAGTCCGGTCGTCGTCCAATCACGCCGGTGGCTTTTAGTAGTCTGGAAATCTGGTTGCTCCCGAGTCCGTGGCCATCATCAGCTGCTCTGCAATAATAATCCAGTGAGTAGTCACTCACTCCCACTACATGTGGGATGGTCAGATTTATGATTGTTCAAATCATTGTTTGACCTCTGTGAGGAATCGGGAATCTCCTGGAATGGTCTTGCTTGGTGGATGTGGACCTTATTCGAGTGGGTTCTATCTAGTATCTATCCATTCATTCAAGCTGCAAGCCTGAAATTAATTACAGTACTACTGGGCACCTGTCAAAAACTTTCCTGTGAAAGAATTATTTATATCTCTTTTGGCTGGCAAACCTGCACGTTCCAGATCCAATGGTTGCCGTGGACAAGCCAGATCCGTGTGATCTACCCACTTCGTCCAATACCATGTCTCATTTGCTAGCATCCTAACCAAAAAAACTAACCACTCTTACTTCACTCTATCACCCAAGGTTCTCAAACGGAATTGCGCGAATAAGACCTATCTAGGCAGCAATCTCATCATCCCATCCTATCTCGTTAAGACTGCGTCCACATCAGCTGTTGCATGGCACTAAATACTTACTACTATGTACTAAGTAAGTATGTCTTGCTTCGCCCGAAGAAGTCTTCATCTCCATCTCCTAAGTGGGCGTAAATACTGGTAATATTACCTTGCCACATGGAGCCTGACTTAGGGGGGAGAAGGTCGTCTTCTGCTGCCCAATGAAGGCTAAGTTGATCATAGCTGAGTCGCACTGCGATTCCAGCCCTGCGTATCCAATTCCACACGCGAGTGGACGAAACAGGGCAGAAAGGATCAAACCAGATCTGGCTCATTCTCGAAACACATCATCCTTCCAAAACCCCCACAGGGGTATGCATGAAAACTTTTATGATATAGTATGTATGTCATTGTCACACCCTTTCCACCGAATCATAGTTAGTCTGTTCAGCTATTGTAGGACAATGAGTAGGGAGAGAAGTCTTTTTTGGGCTGGTCGGAAAAGTATATTGCACTTGAAGGAGGGGGGAAGCAAGCGTTTGCGGCTGAGGTTGTGTTGTGTTTGTAATAATACGCACAATCTTCAGGTCAGATCGAGACCCAATCAGGTGGTGTCTACTGAGGGAAAGCGATCGCATGACTCCAAAGAAAATTTGTATTGATTAGTTACTATTTGCCAGCTTAACTATGGATGTGAACAAGGAAGTACTTTCTGTAAGAGGTAGTAGTAAGTATTAATAACCATGTCACAAACAATGATGATAGGAGAATTTGGGAAATAATCTTCGAACTTGGCTTTGTGGCACCTGGATCTAGCAAAGCCCTGTGGCCCCTCACTTGCCCGCTTTCTGCTTCCCCGACGTCGGCCTTTTTTTTTTCTCTGCTAATTTTTGGAAATCCGTTTTCATTACCTTTTTTGACCACCGAGGAGCGCCAAGAAAAGAAAAGAGTCACAACCTTAAGTCGGAGCCGAGTGCGATAATAATTATTATTGTAGTGACTCAAGTCTATCTATCACTACTACGCTGGTGACTGGCAACAACGGTGCTCTTGCCATACATACTACATACCTAGCAAGTCACTGGAGGTTTCATCCCGCTTCAGTCCATTTTTCTTTCTTTCTTTTTTTTTCCCCTGATCCCTCCTCCGTCCTTGTTCCTCCACAATGGCTGCCACTTCCTTTGTTATCAGGACGCCCTGCTCGTCCGCCAACATTGGACCTGGGTTCGACGTGATCGGTCTGGCACTGTCCATGCATTTGGAGCTCCACGTCACAATTGATACCTCCAAGTCATCGCAGGAACCACTTAACTGCCGTATCACATATGACGACCTGAGCAAGAGTACCGAGAAGATCAGTCTGGACCCCGAGGTTAACTTGATCACCCGTGTAGCACTTTACGTACTTAGATGCCATAGCCAACGGGCATTCCCTGCTGAGACTCATGTGCACATCGTAAACCCGATCCCCTTGAGTCGGGGTCTCGGTTCTTCTGGCACTGCCGTTGTGGCTGGTGTAATGCTGGGAAATGAAGTAGGTAAGCTTGGGCTCAGCAAGGATCGTCTCTTGGATTATTGTTTGATGATCGGTAAGTCGCACGTCCATCGTTCTGCTGGTGGGGAATAAAGTCGAGCATCCTGCATGCGATTGATACTGCTCGACACCTCGTCATTTGCTGGCCATCGCTCATCTGCTCAACAGAACGACACCCCGACAATGTCGCTGCCTCGCTCTTCGGAGGCTTCGTTGGCACCTATCTCAACGAACTCGCCCCCGAAGACGTAGCGCGCAAGGAGATCCCTCTCAGTGAAGTTCTCCCTTCTCCGGCCGGTGGCATTGACACCGGCAAGAGGCCTCCTGAGCCGCCCATTGGCATCGGTCATTACAGAAAGTTCCAGTGGGCCAAGGAAATCAAGGCTATTGCCATCATCCCCGACTTTGTCGTGCCCACTGCCAACGCCCGGAATGTTCTTCCTACCTCGTATACCAGAGCGGACGTTGTAAGCATTCTTTCCTCCGTCGCCAATTCCGAATCTGATAGCAAATGAGCTGCATCGGCTAATGCTATTACTTTGTTTAGGTCTTCAACCTCCAGCGCGCTGCCTTGCTCCCAGCAGCTTTGGGCAGCTCTCCGCCGGACCCAGACATGATCTATCTGGCCATGCAAGATAAGGTCCATCAACCATACAGACAGACTCTTATCCCCGGCTTGACGGAGATTCTCCAATCAATGAACCCACGTACGCAGCCCGGTCTGCTTGGAATCTGTCTGTCAGGTGCAGGCCCGACCATCCTTGCCTTGGCAACGGATAGGTTTGAAGAGATTGCAGACCGCATCATCTCTCGCTTTGCTACCAATGGCATCGCCTGCCAGTGGAAGTTGCTTGAGCCTGCCCAAGACGGCACCACTGTCCAATACTGAGAATCGGATGGCGGTTGCCCGAAGATCTATTCAAATCATACGAAAAGAAAGTCATGATTTGAGAGTCTGATAGATATGACCGCCATGATTGGTGTATATACTTTCATAGACGGCTAGAGCCTGGGGAAGGGCTCTATAAACAGTGGGCACAACGAAAGTGACTCTTTTTATCACTCGTTCTTACGATATCCGTGTCCACATTCTCTTACTGCACAGTTGCCTAGACTGTCAGTCTTACAAATTATCAAATAAAAATTTCCTGCAAACACAGGATTGTCAAGGCAATTTGTGTACTCCTGTAGATTTAAAGAGACTGTTTGATCATCTGACAGGAAGAGCACTGTTATTACAGGTGCATTGCTAGAGGATATACAACCAGGCCACATTATCAATGGCCGTCCTCCCAACGTCCCTATAATGACACCGAAAACAAAACAATCAAAGAAAGAAATAGTAAAGGACGATGTTCAATCGATCGATGATGGGTAACTTAACTAGTACAATCAGGAGCACAATACGTCATGCCCGATACAGCCCTCAATAATACGGATGTTACTGTCCGTGTAACAATACAGTGTCCGATTGACCCGCGATAAGCAGAGGCGGTGGACATGCGACCACCTCAAGCTAACCTCAGCGCCGGCAACGAAGTAAAGGGTGCCCCTTCGACCAGCGACCGTCTAGATCGAACTGGGAAACAATCATATCACACTTTAATCAAAACATCCACAATGGATAGTTTACTGGCGCCAATTCAAGATGCTCTGGAGGGTCAAATCGTGAGTTCTAGGTTTCCTCTGCGCCCGTTGTTTGGGTGATCGTTATTACAGCCACCTATGCGTTTACTTCTATTTACCTATCCGGAGTGTATGATTAACCATGTTGCCGTTTCCATGAATAGGACTTCCAGGGCCAGCGTATTGCAGAGCTTCTTAGTACGGTGCTTCTTGTTCTGTCGGGTGTAAGTTTCTCTACTATTTTTCTACGATGATGGTGGTGTGGTGGCGGTGTTGTTGATGATGTCTTCTGGACTGATTGCTTACGATGGTCGCTTTGTTTAGGCCGTTGCTTTCATTGTTGGATACATCTTCCAGGATATCCATCTAACACTCTGGGTCGGATTGGCCGGCACGTTAATAACTGGGTTGGCCGTGATTCCGCCTTGGCCTATGTACAATAAGAATCCCGAGAAATGGCTTGTTCCCTTGACGACGGGCGTGGGAGGTGGTGCAGGTATTGTGGTAGATGGAGTTAAGGTTGCGTGAGACAAGGAGTCGCGGACTTTGGACATGTCTATTTAATATCCTGAATCAATCACAACTTGTCCGCTTGCGTGTGCACAAACAACAAAACCTGCATCGATAATTTTGAAAGCCGCTGCTGAGAACTGCGAAATGAACCACAAACGCCATAGAAAGCCCTCCCTTCCGGTTCTACCTTATAGGGGATATTGTAAGACATAGAAGGTGATCCGCCCGTATTCGAACCCTGCGATCTTCGCACACGCGTTTACCGGCCGTACTTCTGGAACTCCCAGTCCCTATTGTCGAGGGGACAAACTTGACGGGTTTTCAGCCACCGCGAGATGCAGTGAAAGTGGAACGCATGCTAGAGACAGAAAGAAAGTGGGCGTTAGTGTGGGATGCAGAGTGAGTGTCAGGAAGAGTAAACTTACGTTGCAGATACCCCAAGCAACTGTACACTCTTCAGTTGTAGACGAACCTTGGTTGGCCTGGCACTCGATACCTAGCAACCATCAGACATTAGACTTCGGGTTACATGAAGGCAAGACAGGTCCAAGACGTACAGAGATCCATGATGTGATTACGGCAGATTGCGCAGTTGTCGACGACAATATCCCACGCCCACAGAGCGACCGCGTTCCACTAGAAGAGCAACCCGATTAGCTTCAACGGTACTCAAAAGGGAAGCACACATCTTTGGTGCTGTACCTTCTTAACCTCAAACTTCTTCTTGCCGTCACTGGCACCTTCGGAAGCTTTCGACGATCCCTTTGCTTTGACAGCGGCGGCAGAGCCGGCTTCTTTCATTTCCACGTCCGCCATGTTGCGCGCTTTAACCCTTTGACGGCGCTTAGTCTCTCAAAAAACCGGTCACAAGTCGGAAAAGGTGAACGAGCTGAACAAGGTTCGGAGGAGGGGCAAGCAAATAGATTAATTACGTAGGTCGCTCGGATAGTGGTGGTACCTGACCTGTAGGTACTATTGGTAGTAGTTGTGGTTAGTTAGCTGATAACCCGGGGAGTGGTTGCGGTGTGAGCCCACCGGCAATACTCTGGTGGACGTAGATCGGAGAGGGGCATTGGCTTACCCGAGGAGCACTGACGTAGTAGGGGTATTTCAATCAAAGGAAGGATGATAAGGGTAGGAAGAAGTATGAATCTTCGCTTATGTCTTTTTCTTTTTTTTTTTATTCTTCTTTTCTAGAAGCCGAGTACCTTGTTGGGCAGAATGATGTCCTGGGCGTATGAAGTGAGATAAACAGCAGTTGAATGGTGGGAGTTATTTTTTGTTTTGTTTGCAAGGCTGCTGGCCTGGCAGTGGCGTAAGAACTCTATGCTTGTTAACTAACTATTAGTGAACTGAACTTGTGACTTGTACCAAAGTGGCTGAGTCATCGCCGATGATCCCCGCTTGGTTCTTCTTCCCCCAGCCATTCTTAGGTTTCCGCCCGCCCTTCCCAAAGTCCAGTCGCTACTTACTCTCTCACCTTCACCTTTCCTCCCTCAAAGCCTCGGTCAAGACCTACAATGTACCTCAGCTTTCCTTTACTTTCTGCCTTTATTCGCCTATCTAGACGTGAGCATGCCTAGGAGTCTTGGCTTACTGCTTCCTCTGCGCTTCCTTCGACTCTAATAATAGACGATTTCAACCCTCCGACTTGATCCTCCCATCTGACGTCTTTCCGATCGATCAATCAATCAAAGAAGACCAACTCGTCGGGCCACACACTCAGTGCCCAGCACACCTAGCGACGATCTCCTCTTGTCCTTATCTCCTGATAGTTCTATCCAGCTTTGAATCATTGAGTACGGGCTGCTGGACAGTGCTTCGTACCACCATCGACTCCGTGACTATCGTTCGAGCCGCTTCTTATCGCTATTGTTTTTGTTTCTGGTGCCGCCGCCGCCCAGTCGTTTTCGGTTTCTCTCCACAAGGCTGCCTATTTCTTAAGCCTATCTGACCACCATGTCAACTCAATCGCCCAACCCTCCGACGCCAAAGGGCCCGCGAAACAATCGACGCAACTCCAAGAGGAATATGACACCCTCTACTCAGAAAGTCGCTATCCTGGCAACCCCTCCCTCGTCACCGCCAAGGAACTCCAGTCCTGGCGGGACCGCCACCGATTCCTCTATCAATGTCAACGCCTCCAAAAAGAAGAACAGTCGGTCTGGCAAGAAGCCGCGCGACACATCCAAAGCATCCCCAGCACCTAATGGACACCGTCATACTACTTCTCAACCTAATAATACCATCGCCACTCCTCAAGTGAAGGACAGCCCCCATTACGCCGGCCCGACTTTCCATGCATCTCCGGCACCGTCAGCACTGCCTATTCCCAGTTTCTTCTCCAAGTCTCTACCAGAGTCCGATCTTGCACCGACCATAGAATCCGACGGTGATCACCTCGATGCTGAGCCGGATCTGGAGAACACCCCCTCAAAACCGAAGTCGCGCCCACAATTCCAAGAGGAAGTGCGCCAATCAACACCTTTGGATTTTCTCTTCAAAGCTGCAGTCGAGGCCAGAAACCCCCAGCAGCAGCAGCAGCAGCGAAGTCCCGAAGCAAGCAGTCGGGTCCGGTCGCCACAAACTGATTCTAAGACCCTTCAGCACCGTAGACCCAATGGCACTGCCGGTGGGCTCTTCCGGATGGAGATGGAAAGCCCGGAGTTCCAGCATTCACATATTGGGCCTTCCTTTGCGACCCCTTACAAAGACCGCATGAACGCGTTACGGTCGGCCAGCTCACCTTCTCCTCCGGTGTGTGATTTCGATGAGCAGGAGAAGAGAGCTAAAACCGAAGCTTTGAAAACTTTGTTGCTCAATCCTCGTCCCCAGAGGCCTTCGTCCGCATCTATCACGGCTCAAGATCACTTCAACCCAGTGATGGAGCGCCCTGCTTCAAATCCCGGCTTACCTCACTTTGCAACGCCAGTAAGAACGACTTCGGGACCGCCCGCTTCTATCTCGCATGGCATGTCGTATGATCAGAAACAAACATTCGTCGGAAATGGCCGGCACTATTCCTCATCCTATACACACTCGAACGCTGCTCAACAATATCACTTGCAAAACTCTCCCTTGAGGAAAGAAGTCCTTACTTCGAGAGTTGAAAACATGCCGAGCGTTCATGGCCAAGCTTTCTACCCTCCAGCCGCGTACGATCAGCCCAAATCTCCGCCTAAGTATGCACAATATCCGACGTATTATTCTCCTCCGCAGCACCAATCTCCTGTCTCGCGGAGCGTGTCAGTGAGCAACAACGCGCAGCCTTATGACACGAAGAAGATTGAAGATGATCTACGAAGGATCTTGAAACTCGATGTAAACCCTACCATGCCAGCCAACGGCATGCAAAGCTCCTTCGCCTGACGCGACTGTCATTGGCATTTCGTGAGGCCTTCTTTCCTTCCGTTGATTTCCTATATCATCCGTTCATTTCACGATATCAAGTTTTCAGAAAGGGCACAGTCTTGACGAACAGTGCTGGGGACACTAGCTGAATCCCACTGGCCATGTGAAGCATGGTTCTCATTTTTACTGGGCTACCGCAACTTACGTTCACATCCTAATCATCTTGCGCTTCATGTCCTAAGTTATGTTCTATGTCCTTCTCAGGGGTCCTGTTCTGTTGTTCTCCACGGTTTCATGTTGGTAGCGGCTATCCTGGCGATTGAAAGGGAGTTATCTGTCCCCCTAGTATGTCTTCGAACCTCTATTTGCATTGAAACCCGGAGTACGGTTGCCTTTGGAGTGCTCTTTATGGGACTGTTGGTTTGGGCGAGGTTTCCTGACGTCTGCGGATATCCGTGATGACACTCGTTGTTCATGTTGTTACATTTTGACCTTTTGTTGTTGCTTTTCTCTTTCTTGTCTTGCCTTATGCTTTACCCTTTCTTCCTATCTCATCTTTATGTCCCTTTCTATCAATACCTGTCCTTCGTGGGTTCGGTTCCAGGTTTCGCCAAAGGCGATGAACGATGACTTTTCTGCTCTTTTGTTGGGTTCGGCCCTCTCGTCTGCTGGACGAGATCTAGCAAGACCCAAACCAGGACTGGTTGTTTCCTGACATGTATCATGAAGGCCTTTCGTTTCTCTTATTTACTTTTCCTATTCCTATGTGTCATGTACCTACATTCGTTTCGAAGCTCCTAGTCTTCGCGGTGGGTTTGTCCGTTATCAACGCACATCCACATCAACGGCTATCCCAATCATACCTTCGTTCAGCCGGATACTATTCTTGACCTCATCTACTCTTCTCCACCCCCTATACTGTAATGTATGCCCAGCAAATGGCCAGAACATGGCGATTAGTAGTAGCGATAGTAGTAGCGGCATGTGATAGTCTAGTATCTCTGCCAAGTGACAGCTACTCTAGTATGTCTCAGGGACAATTGGAGCAACCATATTAAGAAGATGTCTCCCCATCTCCAGCCAGTCAGTAGTCCGACGTTCACTATCTAGCGAAACCCCTCCCCGAAAACCCCGAATTAGCAACTGTCTCCCCCTACTACGCACTAGATTCCTACTTAGTTGACATCTCCACGGACTACAGAGCCGGTAGGGAAAGACATGGGTATGGATAAGGAGGCCCGAATCCGGAGTCCAGAACCCGGATAGAAGCCGGGCGGGCGGCAAGCCCAACCTCAACGGCGAATGGGGAGTTCCCGAAAGCGTCGGTCCACTTTTTTGCTATTATTCTGGGTTCCACTTTCCGTTTTGCAAATTTCGCCTAACTAGAGGGAAGTTTGCCTCCACTTGCAATTCCACCATCACAGAGAAGAGAAACAAGAATAAACCGCCGTGAAAGCGGACACAAGGGGGGGGGGGGGGGGTATTGTGTGGTGGGTAATTGTGAATGGGGGAGATTTCCAGGGCATTGGGATATTTTCATGGTTGTTTCTTGGCCATTTCTAGTACCCTTCCAGCTAGGTACTATATAGTAGTTTGGTCACATGCGTAGTAGGTAAGCTATGTACTATAGGTGTATCTGAGACAAGATCTTTGAATGTATGATCCACTGGTTTGGATGCTCGATTACTTCTATCTGATACATGTCCAATGAACGGAATTGCTGGCTCTTCTGACAAGCGAGACAGGTAGATACATAAATTGTTTTCGTCGGCTAACTCCTCGTGCTAAATGGAGTTCCTAGGGTGTTCGTGGGGGTCAACTTTCCCCGTAAGATGAAAAGGGTGGTCCTGTGTTGCATGGACGGTTTCCCCTATTGGTGAGGCTATTCCCGCAGTCTACTGTAGGTTTCTGGGGGATCCGATCTGGTGAGGCTGGTTAAGTATTAAGGCTGGTGGCTTTGGGATAAGAAAAAGTTCAACTCATGCAATGAATTACATGCCGGAATAACTATAGGTCAGATGAATCTACTTATTGCGGTAGACGCAGTAGCTCTACTTCTTACCCACCTACATAACACTAGTCACACTCAGGTACCCGGTGTATATCTGGTTGGTTTACACAAGAGTTCAGAGGGTCTTTTGGAGGCTGTTTGTTACATCATTTAGTTAAGATGGATTTAAAGCTGGGATGAGCAAGGATCATGATCATTGGCATGAACACTCGGTTCGATGATGGGACGAAGTTCCTACATGAAACCGATTAAACTTCAAGGTTGCGTCCATCTCTTTCTCTCTGGGTTATGAAGGACATAGAGAGTGGTTCATCTAAAATAGAATATAGTTTGATAATTAAGCAACTGTACCTTACCTGGATTCAGCATAGAAAAATTGACCCCGACCGTCTGCGGGAAGGCCGTAGACAAGATCAGCCACTGCAGTCATAGTTTATTGAGTAGCCCTATCCAGGAAGGGTTTTGCAAGAAAAGATGTGATATCACACGCGTAGCGCCGCAATAGGACAAGGCTTGCCACCCAGATGGAGGTTGGTGGCGGGTAAGGAATGTTAAGAAGTGGTGTCTGCAGGAACGGACATTTTAGGTAGTGGTGAGTGAGGATTATGTGATGCATGATAAGCTTTCTCTTTCTCTCTTTTTTCCTCCCTTTGGTGGTGTTACAAGGAGTCGGGTTTAAAGCAGGGGGAATTAAAATGTCCATAATCTAATAATCTAATAATCTTATAGAGAGACTACTAGATATAGAGGAGGAGGAGGAGCCCTTGAGAGGATACCGGAAAGCCATACCTAAATACTAGATCATCAGTTACAAAGTAGTTATTTTAGGGGAAGATTGAGTTAGCGTTGAATGTGTAACCGCCGGTACATTGCGAGGCAATCTAAAGTGACTGCGAAGAGTAATGATGTGGTCCAGTCAGTCCCTGGTTCCGGACGCCTTTCCAGGGGGTCAAACAACGAATCGTCGCTGCCGGCCTCGCCCCCCTCCCCGAAAAAAAAAATTAACCCACTGCACGCTAGTTGGTGAAGGGCCCCAAAGGGAGACGACGACAGCAACAGAAGGAGAAGGAGTTTGAGAGAAAGTGGAAGACGACGACAACAATAACCAACATCGAAATTGGAAAGGGAATTTTTACGGAAGGTAAAAAAAAGACAGAATCCAATCTTGCTGTCCATCACAAGAGAAGTGGGAAAAAGCGCTTTCTTCAATTCCTTCTTCCCTTCAACTTATCCTTCCCTTTCCTTTTCTTTTCCCTTCCTTCCCTACTACTTACTCTCTTCTCCCCTCACAAGGAGGCAGACCCAAAGACCGAGATCCATCCAATACTCAATTTCCCCAATTATCCAGTCCTTCCAGACCAACCCATTCACATCCCTCCCTTCCTGGCGCGCTTGCTCTTACTTTCGCTCTCGCGCGCGCTCTCTCTCTCTCTCTCTCTCTCTCTCTCTCTTCATCTCTCTCTATTTCTCTCTGGTACTGGCACCATCTAAATCGTCTTCCACTCTGCTGCTCTTTCAAATCTCCACATCTTCTTTCCCTTTTCCCACACCCCCTTCCTTCCCCCTCCCCCCTTCCAACTTTCTTCCTTCTCCCATCTTCCTCTAATACCAATCGCCTCTTAGTGCTGTCACTTAGCGGTTCCCTAGCCGCCCCGTTTTACCCACCGGCCCTAACAAAACTTCCTCTACGTTATTATTTGCCTTCCGCTCTTGATCCATCTATCCGCGGTACTGAATTCCGACCTTGCACTCCCTCCTTCTCCCTCCTTCAAATGCTCCTCGATCCCTTTTCATAAGGAGAATTAGAGTAAAACAGAATAGCCAGCGCTGGTCTATTTCGCTTGCCCTCTGTCACTAGACATCTGCCTGGATTCCAATCATGGCGAATGCGTGAGTATCTCCCTTTCCATCGAAACACACCTGGCCACGTCTCCCCGAGAATCCGAGCTCAGCGGTTGACACTTTTCTAAACCCATCCACAGCATCGGCTCAGCATGGCGGTCCTTTTGGCATACGATGACTTCTTATGATCGCCATGCTTCCCATGACTCGCCATATCGAACCGGTAAACATGTGCCTCTTAGTCAAAGTCGACATGAACCTCTCACATCCATTGCAACAAGCGCTATCGAATCTCGACCCGATTTGACTTCCCCGTATGATGACGATCAGCCCAAGGGCTCAAATGGCTGGTCCGGCTCACCTACGGGAGGGGGCTCGCCCAATCGCCCATACTCTCCTGGAATGCGATCATTGTCATCTCAGAAGCGTCAATCCGCAGACCCCAATGCGGATGGTGCCCCAGAGATTCAAATGCAAAGTTTCCATGATGGTGCTCCGCCCCCTCCCCCCATCGCTCATTCATGGAGGAAGATTGAGAAATGGCTGGAGAACAACTACCAGGAGCTCTGGGACAATCTATGCGAGGGCTGCACTCAAAATGACATCAACGAACTGGAGCACGAACTGGACTGCAGCCTACCGTTGGAGCTGCGGGAATCTTTGATGGTCCATGATGGTCAGGAGCGGGGAGGACTGCCCACCGGTGTCATCTTCGGCTGCATGCTTCTGGACTGTGAGGAAATCGTTCAAGAATGGAAGAACTGGAGGGTAGTCAACGAGGAGTTTTTGAGCTCATCGATGATGAACGCTCCTCCAAGGGCAACTCCCAGTTCATCGTCCGCTGTGCCCCCTGCCCCGGGTGCTAATGGTGCTTGGAGAAACGACCTGCTCGAGCGACAGGAATCGCAGCCTCCCGGTGCAGTCCAGAAGGCCTATGCCCATCCGGCTTGGATTCCCCTGGCTCGCGACTGGGGCGGCAACCATATCGCTATCGACTTGGCCCCAGGACCTGCTGGAAAGTGGGGACAGGTTATCATCTTTGGCCGGGACTACGATTGTAAATACGTCATTGCTCGGTCCTGGGCTGCCTTCCTTGCGACGCTAGCAGATGATATTTGCAGTGGCAAGGTCTCTGTGGATGAAGAAACGAATGAGATGAAGCTGTTGGAATTCAAGTCGCAGAACGTGGAACCCCCTTACCTGGAGATCTTGAGGTGGAGAACCGATCAGAAGTATGGCAGGAGACCACCTAGGCGCAAGGCTCCGAATGGCTTGGGTTTGAGCACGGGCGGCAAGTCGGGCAAAGAGTCCCCCTATGGCAGCCCAACTCCTAGTGAAGAGCGTGGAAGGTCTCCGCATCGCTTCCCCAACCGGGGGGCTACTCAAAGCCCCAAAACTCAATTTGGCATGTCAAGTCCGCTGGCTCGTGTCACAGAAGAGGCTCCGAGTCCGGTGCACACCGTTGAGGAGACTGAGCTTCCAGAGCAGGCCGCCAAGAAGAACGAAGAAGAGCGTCAATCCGAAGACTTGATGGAGGTAGCTACGCCTCAAATCGGCGGGAAAGAGAACGAGGGAGCCGGAAAGAGTGAGGAGCGCCAGTCGTTGGAAGCGGATAAGGCGCAAAAGCGTGACTCGAATCAACCGTCCTCGGCCACTGGCTTGGACGCCGAGGTCTTGGGTGAAATGAAAAATGTAGCGATCTAGACCTCGTTTTGAGCGATTGTTGCCTTATGTTGCTCCTTTTCTTCCGGCGCGTCATCTTCATCTTTTATCATGAGCACCTTGCTTTTGCGTTTCTAATGAGGAGTTTTCTGATCTTGTCTCCTTCCAGTCCAAGTGTCCCAGGCGCCCCTCCATGAAAGTTGATGGATTTGTGTGAACACTCTTCTGACCTACATGTATAAATCCTCGCATCGTCATACTCCATGATTCCTGTGGCCGTCCGTTTTCTTTCCAATTCTTTTCTTGTCATTTGCAACTTCCAGCAGCCTTATCTTTCTACTTGGGATGGTCACCCGCGATCTGTTTTCTCCACATTTCTGTAACTTTACCTCAACGATGATGCTGTATTAGTTCTCTTCAAGGCTTTTCTTTTTTTTTTCTGGATTCCTGCAGTAGTCGATGTGGTAATACTACTCACTCTACGACGATCTATCACTAGTATGATGATGTGTCTTGGCAGTTACTCAAGTGCTTGACTTCAATATATTCAGTACCCTGCTCCGGCATTGGTTGGTGCTGCGAATCCCGATATCGCCAGCTCTTTCTAGCTCGCCCATTCACAAGTATAGGCTCGATTGGAATAGCATCCGGGCATATTCCAAACCTGGAAGTCCATCACCCGAACCTGAGTCGCTCCCTGCTCGGTTGGCAAGATCACTGCTGCAAATGCAGATTGGTCACACATCAACGTCAATGACTACAGCCAAGCAACGAACCTCTGGTCCCCAAGGCTGTTGTTTCCATCCCGCCTTGTTTCATTGAGGTAACGATGCATCCAACCACCAGACGGCGAGATACCGCTCTGCAATTATGGCAGGCTATCCAGGAAGGCCACTCGAATTTCTCAATCCCAGTCGTCATCATCGTCATCAGCATGCCTATAACTCCTCGCGTTGCCCGTCCGAATCGACCGCTTCCCCCGATCTCTGCGCTCTCCGCCATCACTATCATCATCTTCCGACCCATCAGACGCCCCATCACCAGCCCCGAACTTCTCCTGAGCAAGGATTCCCTTCCAAATCAACCTTTTCTCCAATGTAGCAGTGCTAAAACCATCTGTTCCATCCCGACCACCCGATCCTAGTCCCTCAAACCCAGTCACGCGCTCAACCCCAACCCCATCCTTGAATCCGATCACACATGGAAGCACCCGGATCTTCAACCGTTCCACCACAAACGGCGTGTTCCGTACATCCACCCGAGCAAAGCGTACCTCATGGTGTCGGGTTGCTAGCGCTCGAATATGCTCGTCCATTGTGCCGCAGCGCGCGAAATCCGGGTGCGCAAAGTGAATCACGCATCGATGGGTCTGTGTGGTAAAGTCTAGGAGGGCTTGATCGCTGGAGATGGTCGGGTACAGACTGTCTTCGAGGATGGTGTGGTCGCGCGTGCGGCTGTCATTGTTGTTCTTGTTGTTTTGGGCCGAGGCAAATTCCGCATTGAGTTGCTCAATTCGGTGTGCTCGATAGGCTGTGTCATCTTCGTTCTCTAGCGCGTCGAAGAGAGCGTCCGAGTCGGCGTCGTGGTCATCTTGGTCTCTTGCGGGGGGGTGGTCTTCGAAGGCGCGACTCATGGTTGTGGTGGGTTCTTTTGGATTGTAGGTTATAGTTGTAAAGATGGGCTTTTTGGTGCAGAGAGCGAGGTTGAACCCGATGGTATATGTGTTCAATTGAAGAATAATGGCAAGCCTTAGAAAGAGACAGGAATAGGAGAGGTAGTATATATGGTAGTTATATGTTGATGATAAAGGACGAGGAGGGGAGTGCGAAGCACACAGTGGGTCGGAGGGGTAGGTAGGTGGAAGCTGAATGCTCCCGCAAAAAAGCTTCAGAGATTGACTTTGAGTGAGATAGGAGGCTTAAATGAAGAAATTATATGTAGGGATATGGACACAATATTCCAAGGTGAACAGTCGTTTCCCTTTTGTGATTTGATCGGGGAACGGAGTCTATACGGAGGCAGAAGAATCTACGGCGGGTTATCAGTCGGTTTGGACCGCATTGAAATTCCCAGTGCTGGTACGATACGGAGTATGGAGGAAGTCCCTGAAAAGGTACCACCGCCTCTTTGGTCAGGTACCAAGTGTAATTAATCATTTCCACTTGATCCCGACTTCCCCAGCAATAGGAACAACGTGGCACTGTGAGACACATCACTGATAATCGGGAACAATCGACCAAGGCACAGGTAATATGAACTTGTAGAAAAGCCAAGCATGGCACACCATCACAAAGAAACATGACCCTACTGTATGTAACTATGTATGTACTGGTATACCAGCCAAGATTAAAAATAACCGACTGTACGCCGCATCCGGAGGAAGCGGGAGTTCCAGCCCAGGCGGGAAAGGAAACCTTTTTTTTCATTTCCCAGTAATTTGCTTTTCCCCCTTCGCCTTCGTTCGCGATATTATTATTCTTCTTCCTTCTGGTCTTTCTTCCTCCCCCCAGCTTATCCTCAGCCTCTTTCTCGACTTTCTCCTCCTCGTGTCTTCCCCCCCTCTTCTTCCCCCCTTGTCCTCTTCACATTCTCGCCCCCCCGTTCTTTCCAGACTGCCTGGCTGATTGAACATATCTCCGGGCCGGTGTTTCGTGTTCTTTTTTTATACTTGCGGGTTTTCTTTCCTCTTAACGCTCGCTCCGGCGCCGCCACTATCACTTCATCCCCGACTCGCCTTCGCCTTGCCACGACTTCTCCTCGTTACCACAGGCCTATCGTTTTCAATTCCCACCCCCTTCGCATAGACACTCATTGAATCAGTCACCATGGCTGAAGGCAAGAAGACCGACGACTACACGATCCAGATGGATTCGATAGACCAGGGCAACAAGAGCTTCGAGGCGCCGCCGCCGCCTCAGCCCAGGAGTCCGCCGTCGGGCTCGCTGTCCAACAACCCCATCTTGCCCGTGTTGGCCTACTGTGGATCCTCGATCTTGATGACCGTCATGAACAAATATGTCTTGTCCGGCACTGATTTCAACCTCAACTTCTTCCTCCTCTGCATCCAGGTATGTTGGCTAATATCGGAGCACATGGCGGGTGTGTATTGCATGCTCAAGGCTGACCACTGTTCGATTTCCCCTGCAGTCTCTCGTTTGTATCATTGCAATCCAGACCTGTAAATCATGCGGTTTGATCACTTATCGCGACTTCAGCGCGGACGAGGCCAGAAAGTGTAAGTGCCCAGACTCTACATGCATGCCTTCAAACCCCCCTCGCGACGCTCTCGAACTGACATGTCTTTGATTATCACTAGGGTTCCCCATCACTCTGCTCTTGATCGGCATGATCTACACGGGCTCTAAGGCGCTTCAGTTCCTCTCGATTCCCGTTTACACCATCTTCAAGAACTTGACCATCATCCTTATCGCCTACGGAGAGGTGCTGTGGTTCGGTGGCTCCGTCACCGGTCTTACCCTGTTCTCTTTCGGACTGATGGTTCTGAGCTCTATCATTGCCGCCTGGGCTGACATCAAGCACGCTGTGGAGAGCAATGGCGATGCGACCGCCAAGATGTCCACTTTGAATGCAGGCTACGTCTGGATGCTGGTCAACTGCCTCTGCACGTCGTCCTATGTTTTGGGCATGCGCAAGCGGATCAAGCTGACCAACTTCAAGGACTTTGACAGTACGTTGCTCGGATCCAATCTATTGTAGCTCGAAAGTATCGTTTTACTGACCTGCCGTTTTCTAGCCATGTTCTACAACAACCTTCTGTCGATCCCCGTCTTGATCGTTCTGTCCGCTTTCTTGGAAGACTGGTCATCCACCAACGTCAACCGCAATTTCCCTCCTGTGGACCGCAACAGCATCGTTTTCGCCATGATCCTCTCCGGCCTGTCGACTGTGTTCATTTCCTATACCTCCGCCTGGTGTGTTCGCGTCACTTCGTCGACCACTTACTCCATGGTTGGAGCTCTGAACAAGCTTCCCATTGCTATCTCTGGACTCATCTTCTTCGATGCTCCTGTTACCTTCCCCAGTGTTTCGGCTATCGTCGTTGGCTTTGTTAGCGGTATCGTTTACGCCGTTGCTAAGATCAAGCAAAACGCTAAGCCAAGGACTGGTGTCTTGCCGACCGCCAACCCCCCGGTCAGCGCCAGCAGCCAGAGTATGAGGGACTCTCTACGTTCCTAGTCGGGTTGCCAGTCATCAAGTGGATGGTCAACTCGTTGTGGGCGACTGCTCCGGCTTGACCATCGTCAATGTTGCTCCGTACCGAGTGCAAGATTGAACGTGCTCGTTACTCGCATGTGATATGTGATTCTTCGTTTCGTTGTAGTTGGCGAGGGCTGTCGTTCAGACCTTGAATCACAGTCTTCATGCCTTCCTCGGCAGGTGTTGGTGGTTCTGTATTCAATTTCCACATGTCGAGCTACCTGAGAGGCCTTTAATTTGCTGTTACTGGTCTTTCAGCTTTGCTTTCAAATATCTGCCCCGATCATGACCCTTTTCGCATATTCTTTTTATTTTTGTTTCGGGCTGCGCAGATGGCTTCCATTTGAATATCATCTAGTAATGCCGTGGATTGATATGACATGTCTTATTGTTTTGCTGATCATGGCGTGTTCCGTGTTCTTGTCTGTGACGGGGCCTCGCAAGTTCAGGTTTCGTGCGGTTGAGGATTTATCAAAAAAGGAAGGCCTTTCCTGGTGTTGAAGCCTGTATATAAGAAGTTCTTTCTTTACTGCCTTTTTAATAAATTTTATAGAATTGAAGCGTGTTTTTTTGGACGACTGGAGATCCCTTCGCGGTAAGAGTACGACTTAGTCGCCGAGGTTGCACTCGGAGTATCTTCTCATAATGTAAGGTCCCCGGAGCTTCTCGTGAACATGTTACATGCTTTTCTTAACAAATCTGTGTGTGTGTGTGTGTGTGTGTGTGTGTGTGTGTGTCACGGTCCTGAATTAAACACTTACTGTATAACTGCATTTACCTAGATAGAACCATATTGAGCTACCTACTACGTACTACCATCAATAAGTACTGATGCATCTCCGGAGGTCTGTCTCCTAT